TGTTTGGGAAATTTTACCGAGCAGGCAGCTGAAATGCAGATGAAGTAAATGGTCCAAGGTCGTATTCTGTGCACTGCCTCCCAGTGCCTCCAGTCCCTGAGCCCATCCCCCCACTGCTCCACAGCTGCCTTCCACAAGGTCACAGCTGGTAGATGGTGCTGACTCCTTCTGCTGCTGTGTGTGTGTGTGTGTGTGTCTGTGTCGGTGTGTGTGTCTGTGTGTGTGTGTGTGGAGCACCCACTATGTGTGGACTTCTGTCCTAGGAGGAGAGAACGGAGGAGGAGGAGCTAGACATGTAGAAATAAGTAATGAAAACGCAGTGTTACTGAAAATTCATTGCTATGGTAAAGGGCAGTAAATTCTAATTGCCACATTAACAGATACCCTCTACTCGCTCTTATAAAACCCATCACACTGAATATGCATGGCCAGTAGGCTCTGCATTAGTACAGTAGTCTCAGAAGTGGAGGGTATGCAGAAAGACCTCTAGGTACAAGAAAATAATAATACAACTTTTCTTATCTCACCCTTTAAAAATGTGTTTATATTTTATAACTTACTTGGCATATTATGTATGTTTGGATTTTACAACATACCTGACATATGCATGCATGCAAAGACATATCATTACCTCATACACTTCTCAGTTAAACAACAGATATGGATGCATGCTCAAAAATGTTCAACTTACAAGGATTACACAACTTAAAGCTTGCACCCCACTTCTCAGACCTACCTACTCACCTTGTCACTGTTGATTCATATGCTACCCCAAGTATTTCTTCCCAGCCTGTTTATGTCAGTAATACATGGAATCATTTACTATAACTTAATTAAATTTTATATGAATCAGTGAGATTTTTTTTTTAATAGTCTCTGTGAAAGCTAAGTTGGGTAGACAACATTTATGGTCCAGATTAGGCAGAGTATTTTTTTTTTTAATTGCTGTCAAACTCAGGGTAGGCAAGACACCTATAAACATTGAGAGAACTAATCATATAAGTCTAGGATTCTGCTTTAGTCAAATTTGGAAAATCTAAGTCCTTGTTCTACCTTAAAGAATCTAATGCAGGAAATCAAAGACGTTGTGTTTTGAGCATGATTCGTGCAGAAATGACAGCATGGACCTTCACTCTGGACCTAGCCTCAAGCATAAGTCCTTTGTGAATAACTGTACAGTCCGTTATTGTTATTCACAGTAATTATGTTCTTTCTAACATTGCTGCAAACACAGAATGAGTGAATACAAAACCACTGCTCCTAGAGGAAACACGGATAGGTACCTGCGAGCCTCTGATCAGATCTCATTTTTGTCAGCAAATCAATATATAATCTCATTTTATTTATGTTTCTATTTGAAGACACCTTAATTAATAAATACTATTGATTCACAAACATCAAACTCACAGCACTGCAGCTCATGACTGAATGAACTCATTTGGCTTTTCACATTTTCTCTGGATTTCCTCTGGAAGGTACAGCCCGGACTTCTTACACTTAGGAATACCACACAGCACTTTAGCACTATGCTTAGAGGCCATCTTAGACAGCCAAGTCACCAACTAAAAGCACAAAAATGCTAGAAACATGGCACTAAACAGATTGCAGAAAATGTACTAAATAGATTGCATTAGTTTATAATATGAGCTGAAATAAGAAGGCAGTGTGTTGCCTCGTTCAGCCTCAGCTGGGAAATGTGCATGTTGGGCAACTTCAATTTTTCACTGCTCTGTGCATGTCCATCAATACGCTGTGAGTGTTGATTGGGACTTACAAATATAAGCAAGTTCACAAATTCACAATTACAGAACCCACAAAGAATGATGAAAAATTATATATGCCTTAGGTTAAACAAAATAACATGTGTGATTTCTTTGTATGAGCCTTCCTTTAACTGACTTTGATGAATGAGCCGCATTCGGCAAGGTGAAGTGCACCCTGCTGTTGTCACAGGGGAAAGGTGAGCTGGGAGCCAGTGCCCGATTGCAGGATTACACGCCGACTGATTTTTAGCAGCCATCTCTCCCCAGCTTGTTAGGATGAAATGAGCTTGGGTATTTGTTGTGATGTCCCAGCAACTAGGACAGTGCCCAGCACTGGTGATGATTTAAAACACTGTACAAATGTTCTACACAAGATGTATGTAGTCAGTGCTAATAATTCGGGAGGAAGAAGTTAGTATAGACTTCAGGTGGAAAATGCCTGTGGGGCCCACTGGGTGTTGCTCTGTTGCCTTTGTACTCACCCCAATCCGTCTTATCTCCTCCCTGTGTTCTCATCTTCCAGGGAAGGCAGAGACCAGCTTCTCCCTCCCACAGTTCCCCAAACCTCACCTCTCCTGCCTGCATATGACTCAGGGCCTGGACAGAACAGAGGGGAAGAGAGAGCAGGGAGAGAACTAGAGAACTGTCTTTGGTTCATAAAGTGCCAAAGCAGATGGGGCTGTAGGCCTGGCTGCCCAGCCTGCCCTGGGGTGGCTCACTCTGCCTGCCTGGAGATCCCATATTTGGGGCCTTCCTGGGCCCTGGCCTGGGTGCCCCCCTGCAGGCCCCAGGCCCCTCTAGCTTTTCCCCAGGAGCTCTGGTTGTCCAGGAGGTTTGCTGGGGAGATGTGCTCCTTCACATCGCCTGTGCCACGATGAGACTCAGTGTACGGGCTTCTCTCCCGGAGATTTTCTGAATTGAGCCCTCCAAACACACATGCCACCAGTAGTAGTTTGGGCGTTGAAACTTGGAGAAAGGCAAAAAGTCAGCCCATTCTTAGCCATTTATAATGACCTGTTTCTTTTAAATGTGTTAAGGAACATTTCAAATGTACACAAAAGTAGAATAGTATAATGAGCCCCTGTGTACCCATCACCCAGTATCAGCCCATGGTCTGAATTATTAGCCCATGGCCAATCGTGTTGCATTTCTTCCATGTCCCAGATAATTTCAGAACAAATCCCAGGCATTACATTTCACTGATAAATATTTCATTGTATATCTGTAAAGGAGAGGACTTTTTTAAAAAAGCATACAGCCAAAATACTATCACAACTAAAAAATCAACAGTAATTCCTCATATCCTCAGATATCTGGTCAGTGTTTAATGTCCCTGAAGCAGATATTTCTGTCTTTGAGTTCAGCACAGCTCTCAGCTAACGTGGCCAGTGACTAGAGTGTGCAGCTGAACTTGAATCTGGGGGGCTGGAGTCAGGGTAACAGAGAGAAAGAGTGCCGTTTGCAGGTCAGTCAGTAGGACGGGACAGCACTGCTGGGGCTCCGTGGCTCCGTGGCTCTCTGCGCCTCTGCGCACACCATGTGGAATATAAGCGAGTTCTGGCCAGAAAGAACCTCACCGAAGAAGAGTGGCTGCCACCACTCTGTGTCCCTACTTACTGTCTCACAGTCTGTGACTGAGCCCTCTCAGTACTTGGGGCAGGAAATGGCTCCCTGTGTTTTGGGGTCCATCCCCTCAAAACATGGCCTGCATGCACGGGGCAGGACTGGGGAGAGAGGAAGAAGTGATACTGTCTGGGCCCAGGGCTGTGAGAACTCTGAGCACCCAGAGGGGTTGGGGCTCCCTGGAGCTACCCTTTCCTGTGAGCCTTTGTCACCGGTGGTGAGCCTAAGCAGCATTCCCTCAAACGGGGTTTGGGGTTCTGAGTGGCTCATAGGGACCAGCTACTCTGAGTCTAAGTGAATGATGACAGGAGTCTGATGGCGTGCTGCAGCCAAGGTGGTGCAGACAGGAAAGTGGGCGCCCAGCAGGCTGCCGGGCCGGGGCCGGGGCCAGGGCCGCCGCAGCCTGAGGAGGAGGGCAGAGTTGCACATACTTGGCACTTTGTTCTTTCAGGGCTAGACGAGCTCATCTGCTTCACGGGTGATTCGTTGTCTCTCTATGTCCAGAGAAGAATTTCAAAGCAAAAGAGTTTCCAGTAAGGTGTATACAGTGGAAACTTGAGCAGCTTGCTTGTGCCCCTGTGTGCCCCAAGTTCTTCCTTTGTAAAACAATATTAGGCCCCGCCTGAGAGGTTTCATGAGGCAAAGGCAGCTGTCCGAGGGAATGCACGTGGCTCTAGCGGCTGCTGTGTTCACTGCTGCTCTGGGGATGTTGACCAGACCACACTGATTGTGTGGTTTTTCAGGTGGTTCTTGGTGAGGCCGTAAAGGCCACCCTGGTGTGTAGAGTGGTGTTTGCCCCACATCTCTGCAGCCCAGGACGTTTCAGGTGTAGGATGTCATCTCTGCAGTGAGGGGTGCTGAAGGACTGCATTTGCAGGAGTCTTTCAAGGGAAGAGGAACAGCAGCATGACAGGTATGGGCGGCAGTGTGCACAGGGCTCCCATTTGTCCTGTGCTTCCCACAGGCTTTGTGGCCTTGGCCTTCGTGCTTAATACTTACGTGCCTCGGTGTAAGATGAATTTCAGGATACTCACCCTCCTGCCAGGGTCGTGGCCGCTGACCCTTAGGGTGCCTTGCACTTAGTGTAGGCTCCACGCATGGGAGCTAGGGTTATTTTTCTGATAATAGTGGTGATATTATCAGAATTGAATATATAATCTTTGTCATGTGCTGCTAGTTTAGTTAGAGAATTTGATTAGCATTTTATCCTGATCAGATACCAGAGATGCTAATGTGATCCCTCTGGCTGCTGTATAAATTTATTCTTTTTGACTTTTAAACATTTGCAATAATTAAAATCCATTGAGTTGAGGGAGGGAGAAGCCCTTTGACACGATCATTCTGCATTGCGTAACTCGGGTAAGAAGAAGTGGATTTGCAATAGCTTCTCGGTATACATGCCTGTGCTGTCTGCAAGATTGCATATCCAGGAGATGGTAGGATATAATTTCTTTTTAAGGAAGAGTTTCTTTATGCTGACCTTGAACAGAGTGGTTTCCTGATGTCATATTTTTATTTTGCTCAACTGAAACAAAGCAACAAAAAAATACAGTAAGCTGATGGACAGGTGGGAACTCGGCTGCTCCCTCACATGCTATCCCTTTCTTCTCCCAGATGTGACATTTGCTGCGTCACCTTTCGAACACATCGAGGATTGCTGCGCCACAATGCGCTTGTCCACAAACAGCTTCCCAGGGATGCGATGGGAAGGCCTTTCATACAGAACAACCCCTCAATTCCTGCTGGCTTCCACGACTTAGGATTCACTGACTTCTCCTGTAGGAAGTTTCCTCGAATTTCTCAGGTATTCTGACCAGCCCATGGAACTGGGAGCCACCTCCGCAGTCCACCTAGTTGGGCTAAACTTCCTCCCCCTGAGGTTTATTTTCTTTAAAATGCCATCTATCCGTTGGATTTGTCCTTTTTATAACACCTTGCCTTTTTAAAATAGAGCTTAGCCCTGTTGGTCTTCGTTAGGTTGAGTTGGAAGGCATAGGTGACCTTTATCTTGGGTTGAATCTCACATAAACTTGCCCAGAAGTCTGGTTCATCGGGGCTTTAGTCCATTCTTGGGGCATTTGAGTTTAAAGTTGTGAATTGTTTAACACTCCCATTCCAGCCCTATCTGCACTGAATTTGTATTTTTTAAATACTTTAGTACCTATATTACAGTTAAATATTTCCAGTGTTGTAGTTTCTATTAAAAATGTTTCGGGTCATTATTAACTGAGCCATATTTGTTCTCTGCTTGTAGAACACCTGAAACTACTTGTTTTATTTTTTTCTAATTCTTAAAAAAGGAGGTAGAAATCTGGTTAAATGCTTGAAATGAGGAATCCTCAAGCTCAATGAGTTGTTTCATGGGAATACACCCATACATATACCCAGATGTGTGTACCCCTACGTGCACGCTCACGTAAGCCCCCACTCCCTGTGGCACTCCCTCGTGCCCTCTTGCAGGCTGTGCTCCCTCTCCCACAATCACAGAAGGGGAGCAGGTTCTCCACTGATGGCAGATAGTCACCATGAGTTAGCCTTGCAAGGCACCCATTTTTAAAAGGAGAATGAATCCTTCCTGTGGTATTGTTACTTAACCAAACTGCATTGCTTCGCTGCTGAGACTCCCTAGGGATTAATGCCATTCGCCAAGCAAATAAGGTTCTTAAGATGTTTGTCGTTTTCCTTACTCATCCTGGAGTTAACAGGAGAAAGCTGGATCCTAAGACTTGTGCCACAGATACTTTCTGCATTTCCATTTAGTGCTTGTCTTTAAATCCTCTCTTCCCTTGCTTTTGCTGACCTGCTTGCGCACAGGCCTGGTGCGAAACAAACCTGCGGAGGTGTACCAGTGAGCAGCAGCGTTTCGTCTGTGACACGTGTGACAAGGCGTTCCCCATGCTCGCCTCGCTCACCCTGCACAAGCAGACCCACGCCACCACGGACCAGGGACAGGAAAGGCTGCAGGCCAAGCCCCTGCCTGGTGACGCCCTGGACCAGAAGGTCTTCCTGGCCATCCTGGGCCTGCAGCACACCAAAGACGTCAGGCCTGCCCCCTCTGAGGAGCCCCTGCCCGATGACAACCAAGCAATACAGCTCCAGACACTCAAGTGTCAGCTACCTCAGGACCCTGGCTGCACCAACATGCTGAGCCTGTCTCCTTTTGAAGCTGCTTCCCTGGGCGGTTCTTTCACGGTCCTCCCGGCCACCAAGGAGAGCATGAAGCACCTGTCCCTACAACCTTTCCAGAAGGGCTTCATCATCCAGCCCGACAGTAGTATTGTGGTCAAACCCATCTCCGGTGAGTCGGCCATTGAGCTGGCAGACATCCAGCAGATTCTGAAGATGGCAGCCTCAGCTCCCCCACAGATCAGTCTTCCACCCCTCTCCAAGGCCCCTGCCACCCCTCTGCAGGCGATTTTCAAACACATGCCCCCTCTGAAGCCAAAGCCCTTGGTCACACCACGGACAGTGGTGGCCACCTCCACGCCCCCTCCTCTCATCAATGCCCAGCAGGCCTCCCCCGGCTGCATCAGCCCCAGCCTGCCCCCGCCACCCCTGAAGCTCNTCTGGACCTAGCCTCAAGCATAAGTCCTTTGTGAATAACTGTACAGTCCGTTATTGTTATTCACAGTAATTATGTTCTTTCTAACATTGCTGCAAACACAGAATGAGTGAATACAAAACCACTGCTCCTAGAGGAAACACGGATAGGTACCTGCGAGCCTCTGATCAGATCTCATTTTTGTCAGCAAATCAATATATAATCTCATTTTATTTATGTTTCTATTTGAAGACACCTTAATTAATAAATACTATTGATTCACAAACATCAAACTCACAGCACTGCAGCTCATGACTGAATGAACTCATTTGGCTTTTCACATTTTCTCTGGATTTCCTCTGGAAGGTACAGCCCGGACTTCTTACACTTAGGAATACCACACAGCACTTTAGCACTATGCTTAGAGGCCATCTTAGACAGCCAAGTCACCAACTAAAAGCACAAAAATGCTAGAAACATGGCACTAAACAGATTGCAGAAAATGTACTAAATAGATTGCATTAGTTTATAATATGAGCTGAAATAAGAAGGCAGTGTGTTGCCTCGTTCAGCCTCAGCTGGGAAATGTGCATGTTGGGCAACTTCAATTTTTCACTGCTCTGTGCATGTCCATCAATACGCTGTGAGTGTTGATTGGGACTTACAAATATAAGCAAGTTCACAAATTCACAATTACAGAACCCACAAAGAATGATGAAAAATTATATATGCCTTAGGTTAAACAAAATAACATGTGTGATTTTTTTGTATGAGCCTTCCTTTAACTGACTTTGATGAATGAGCCGCATTCGGCAAGGTGAAGTGCACCCTGCTGTTGTCACAGGGGAAAGGTGAGCTGGGAGCCAGTGCCCGATTGCAGGATTACACGCCGACTGATTTTTAGCAGCCATCTCTCCCCAGCTTGTTAGGATGAAATGAGCTTGGGTATTTGTTGTGATGTCCCAGCAACTAGGACAGTGCCCAGCACTGGTGATGATTTAAAACACTGTACAAATGTTCTACACAAGATGTATGTAGTCAGTGCTAATAATTCGGGAGGAAGAAGTTAGTATAGACTTCAGGTGGAAAATGCCTGTGGGGCCCACTGGGTGTTGCTCTGTTGCCTTTGTACTCACCCCAATCCGTCTTATCTCCTCCCTGTGTTCTCATCTTCCAGGGAAGGCAGAGACCAGCTTCTCCCTCCCACAGTTCCCCAAACCTCACCTCTCCTGCCTGCATATGACTCAGGGCCTGGACAGAACAGAGGGGAAGAGAGAGCAGGGAGAGAACTAGAGAACTGTCTTTGGTTCATAAAGTGCCAAAGCAGATGGGGCTGTAGGCCTGGCTGCCCAGCCTGCCCTGGGGTGGCTCACTCTGCCTGCCTGGAGATCCCATATTTGGGGCCTTCCTGGGCCCTGGCCTGGGTGCCCCCCTGCAGGCCCCAGGCCCCTCTAGCTTTTCCCCAGGAGCTCTGGTTGTCCAGGAGGTTTGCTGGGGAGATGTGCTCCTTCACATCGCCTGTGCCACGATGAGACTCAGTGTACGGGCTTCTCTCCCGGAGATTTTCTGAATTGAGCCCTCCAAACACACATGCCACCAGTAGTAGTTTGGGCGTTGAAACTTGGAGAAAGGCAAAAAGTCAGCCCATTCTTAGCCATTTATAATGACCTGTTTCTTTTAAATGTGTTAAGGAACATTTCAAATGTACACAAAAGTAGAATAGTATAATGAGCCCCTGTGTACCCATCACCCAGTATCAGCCCATGGTCTGAATTATTAGCCCATGGCCAATCGTGTTGCATTTCTTCCATGTCCCAGATAATTTCAGAACAAATCCCAGGCATTACATTTCACTGATAAATATTTCATTGTATATCTGTAAAGGAGAGGACTTTTTTAAAAAAGCATACAGCCAAAATACTATCACAACTAAAAAATCAACAGTAATTCCTCATATCCTCAGATATCTGGTCAGTGTTTAATGTCCCTGAAGCAGATATTTCTGTCTTTGAGTTCAGCACAGCTCTCAGCTAACGTGGCCAGTGACTAGAGTGTGCAGCTGAACTTGAATCTGGGGGGCTGGAGTCAGGGTAACAGAGAGAAAGAGTGCCGTTTGCAGGTCAGTCAGTAGGACGGGACAGCACTGCTGGGGCTCCGTGGCTCCGTGGCTCTCTGCGCCTCTGCGCACACCATGTGGAATATAAGCGAGTTCTGGCCAGAAAGAACCTCACCGAAGAAGAGTGGCTGCCACCACTCTGTGTCCCTACTTACTGTCTCACAGTCTGTGACTGAGCCCTCTCAGTACTTGGGGCAGGAAATGGCTCCCTGTGTTTTGGGGTCCATCCCCTCAAAACATGGCCTGCATGCACGGGGCAGGACTGGGGAGAGAGGAAGAAGTGATACTGTCTGGGCCCAGGGCTGTGAGAACTCTGAGCACCCAGAGGGGTTGGGGCTCCCTGGAGCTACCCTTTCCTGTGAGCCTTTGTCACCGGTGGTGAGCCTAAGCAGCATTCCCTCAAACGGGGTTTGGGGTTCTGAGTGGCTCATAGGGACCAGCTACTCTGAGTCTAAGTGAATGATGACAGGAGTCTGATGGCGTGCTGCAGCCAAGGTGGTGCAGACAGGAAAGTGGGCGCCCAGCAGGCTGCCGGGCCGGGGCCGGGGCCAGGGCCGCCGCAGCCTGAGGAGGAGGGCAGAGTTGCACATACTTGGCACTTTGTTCTTTCAGGGCTAGACGAGCTCATCTGCTTCACGGGTGATTCGTTGTCTCTCTATGTCCAGAGAAGAATTTCAAAGCAAAAGAGTTTCCAGTAAGGTGTATACAGTGGAAACTTGAGCAGCTTGCTTGTGCCCCTGTGTGCCCCAAGTTCTTCCTTTGTAAAACAATATTAGGCCCCGCCTGAGAGGTTTCATGAGGCAAAGGCAGCTGTCCGAGGGAATGCACGTGGCTCTAGCGGCTGCTGTGTTCACTGCTGCTCTGGGGATGTTGACCAGACCACACTGATTGTGTGGTTTTTCAGGTGGTTCTTGGTGAGGCCGTAAAGGCCACCCTGGTGTGTAGAGTGGTGTTTGCCCCACATCTCTGCAGCCCAGGACGTTTCAGGTGTAGGATGTCATCTCTGCAGTGAGGGGTGCTGAAGGACTGCATTTGCAGGAGTCTTTCAAGGGAAGAGGAACAGCAGCATGACAGGTATGGGCGGCAGTGTGCACAGGGCTCCCATTTGTCCTGTGCTTCCCACAGGCTTTGTGGCCTTGGCCTTCGTGCTTAATACTTACGTGCCTCGGTGTAAGATGAATTTCAGGATACTCACCCTCCTGCCAGGGTCGTGGCCGCTGACCCTTAGGGTGCCTTGCACTTAGTGTAGGCTCCACGCATGGGAGCTAGGGTTATTTTTCTGATAATAGTGGTGATATTATCAGAATTGAATATATAATCTTTGTCATGTGCTGCTAGTTTAGTTAGAGAATTTGATTAGCATTTTATCCTGATCAGATACCAGAGATGCTAATGTGATCCCTCTGGCTGCTGTATAAATTTATTCTTTTTGACTTTTAAACATTTGCAATAATTAAAATCCATTGAGTTGAGGGAGGGAGAAGCCCTTTGACACGATCATTCTGCATTGCGTAACTCGGGTAAGAAGAAGTGGATTTGCAATAGCTTCTCGGTATACATGCCTGTGCTGTCTGCAAGATTGCATATCCAGGAGATGGTAGGATATAATTTCTTTTTAAGGAAGAGTTTCTTTATGCTGACCTTGAACAGAGTGGTTTCCTGATGTCATATTTTTATTTTGCTCAACTGAAACAAAGCAACAAAAAAATACAGTAAGCTGATGGACAGGTGGGAACTCGGCTGCTCCCTCACATGCTATCCCTTTCTTCTCCCAGATGTGACATTTGCTGCGTCACCTTTCGAACACATCGAGGATTGCTGCGCCACAATGCGCTTGTCCACAAACAGCTTCCCAGGGATGCGATGGGAAGGCCTTTCATACAGAACAACCCCTCAATTCCTGCTGGCTTCCACGACTTAGGATTCACTGACTTCTCCTGTAGGAAGTTTCCTCGAATTTCTCAGGTATTCTGACCAGCCCATGGAACTGGGAGCCACCTCCGCAGTCCACCTAGTTGGGCTAAACTTCCTCCCCCTGAGGTTTATTTTCTTTAAAATGCCATCTATCCGTTGGATTTGTCCTTTTTATAACACCTTGCCTTTTTAAAATAGAGCTTAGCCCTGTTGGTCTTCGTTAGGTTGAGTTGGAAGGCATAGGTGACCTTTATCTTGGGTTGAATCTCACATAAACTTGCCCAGAAGTCTGGTTCATCGGGGCTTTAGTCCATTCTTGGGGCATTTGAGTTTAAAGTTGTGAATTGTTTAACACTCCCATTCCAGCCCTATCTGCACTGAATTTGTATTTTTTAAATACTTTAGTACCTATATTACAGTTAAATATTTCCAGTGTTGTAGTTTCTATTAAAAATGTTTCGGGTCATTATTAACTGAGCCATATTTGTTCTCTGCTTGTAGAACACCTGAAACTACTTGTTTTATTTTTTTCTAATTCTTAAAAAAGGAGGTAGAAATCTGGTTAAATGCTTGAAATGAGGAATCCTCAAGCTCAATGAGTTGTTTCATGGGAATACACCCATACATATACCCAGATGTGTGTACCCCTACGTGCACGCTCACGTAAGCCCCCACTCCCTGTGGCACTCCCTCGTGCCCTCTTGCAGGCTGTGCTCCCTCTCCCACAATCACAGAAGGGGAGCAGGTTCTCCACTGATGGCAGATAGTCACCATGAGTTAGCCTTGCAAGGCACCCATTTTTAAAAGGAGAATGAATCCTTCCTGTGGTATTGTTACTTAACCAAACTGCATTGCTTCGCTGCTGAGACTCCCTAGGGATTAATGCCATTCGCCAAGCAAATAAGGTTCTTAAGATGTTTGTCGTTTTCCTTACTCATCCTGGAGTTAACAGGAGAAAGCTGGATCCTAAGACTTGTGCCACAGATACTTTCTGCATTTCCATTTAGTGCTTGTCTTTAAATCCTCTCTTCCCTTGCTTTTGCTGACCTGCTTGCGCACAGGCCTGGTGCGAAACAAACCTGCGGAGGTGTACCAGTGAGCAGCAGCGTTTCGTCTGTGACACGTGTGACAAGGCGTTCCCCATGCTCGCCTCGCTCACCCTGCACAAGCAGACCCACGCCACCACGGACCAGGGACAGGAAAGGCTGCAGGCCAAGCCCCTGCCTGGTGACGCCCTGGACCAGAAGGTCTTCCTGGCCATCCTGGGCCTGCAGCACACCAAAGACGTCAGGCCTGCCCCCTCTGAGGAGCCCCTGCCCGATGACAACCAAGCAATACAGCTCCAGACACTCAAGTGTCAGCTACCTCAGGACCCTGGCTGCACCAACATGCTGAGCCTGTCTCCTTTTGAAGCTGCTTCCCTGGGCGGTTCTTTCACGGTCCTCCCGGCCACCAAGGAGAGCATGAAGCACCTGTCCCTACAACCTTTCCAGAAGGGCTTCATCATCCAGCCCGACAGTAGTATTGTGGTCAAACCCATCTCCGGTGAGTCGGCCATTGAGCTGGCAGACATCCAGCAGATTCTGAAGATGGCAGCCTCAGCTCCCCCACAGATCAGTCTTCCACCCCTCTCCAAGGCCCCTGCCACCCCTCTGCAGGCGATTTTCAAACACATGCCCCCTCTGAAGCCAAAGCCCTTGGTCACACCACGGACAGTGGTGGCCACCTCCACGCCCCCTCCTCTCATCAATGCCCAGCAGGCCTCCCCCGGCTGCATCAGCCCCAGCCTGCCCCCGCCACCCCTGAAGCTCCTCAAGGGCTCGGCAGAGGTGGCCTCCCACGCCCACCTGCTGCAGTCCAAGTCCGGGGCCCAACCAAGCATGGCCACACCGCTCTTCCTTCAGCAGCCCCGGGTGGATCTGCCCGGCCAGGCCGAGATAAAGACGCAGCTGGAGCAGGACAGCATCATCGAGGCCCTGCTGCCCCTGAGCATGGAGGCCAAGATCAAGCAGGAGATAACAGAGGGGGACCTCAAGGCCATCATGACAGGACCCGGCAGCAAGAAGACACCAGCCATGCGCAAGGTGCTCTACCCCTGTCGCTTCTGCAACCAGGTGTTCGCCTTCTCCGGGGTGCTGCGTGCGCATGTGCGCTCCCACCTGGGCATCTCGCCCTACCAGTGCAACATCTGCGACTACATTGCCGCCGACAAGGCTGCGCTCATCCGCCACCTGCGCACACACAGCGGCGAGCGGCCCTACATCTGCAAGATCTGCCACTACCCCTTCACCGTCAAGGCCAACTGCGAGCGGCACCTCCGCAAGAAGCACCTCAAGGCCACCCGCAAGGACATCGAAAAGAACATCGAGTACGTGACCAGCAGCGCCGCGGAGATGGTGGACGCCTTCTGCTCCCCCGACACGGTGTGCAGGCTGTGCGGCGAAGATCTGAAGCACTACCGCGCGCTGCGCATCCACATGCGCACACACTGCGGCCGCGGCCTGGGCGGCTGCCCCAAGGGCCGCAAGCCCTTCGAGTGCAAGGAGTGCAGCGCCGCCTTCTCGGCCAAGCGCAGCTGCATCCACCACGTCCTCAAGCAGCACCTGCACGTTCCCGAGCGCGACATTGAGAGCTATGTCCTGGCCGCCGATGGCCCGGGCACCGCCGGGGTGCCCGCAGAGACCTCGGGGAAGATAGAGGAGGGTGGTGGGGCCTTTGGCGAGCGGAAACCCCCAGCCACCTTCCTAGAGCCCCAAAACGGCTTTCTTCATGGCAGTCCCACCCAGTCTCTGCCTCCCCACGTCTCAGTCAAGTTGGAGCCCACCAGCAACTTTACAGTGGACTTCAACGAGCCCCTGGACTTCTCCCAGAAGGGCCTGGCCCTGGTCCAAGTGAAGCAGGAAAACATGGTCTCCTTCCTCAGCGCCTCTTCCTTGGCCCCCTATGATAGCTCGATGGAGCCCATCGACTTGTCCATCCCCAAGAACTTCAGGAGGGGAGACAAAGACGAGGCTGCTCCCAGCGAAGACGGCCAACACGAGCAGGAGCCGGAGAGCCGCGAGCAACCCTCCCCCTGCCCACCGCCTTGCCCTGCCCTGCCGGTGACCTTGGCACCCAGCGGGATTCTGGAAAATCTTGTGGCCCCTGCGGCAGCAGCCGCGGCTCTGGAAGCGCACCCCCAGCCCCTGCAGGGTTCTGTCCAGCTGGCAGTCCCCATATACTCCTCAGCCCTGGTCAACAGCTCGCCGGTCCTGGGCAACTCCGCCCTCATCAGCAGCCCAGCCTTGCTGCGACCACTGCGCCCCAAGCCCCCCCTGCTCTTGCCAAAGCCCTCCGTCACAGAAGAGCTGCCCCCACTGGCCTCCATCGCCCAGATCATCTCATCTGTGTCTTCAGCTCCCACCTTGCTGAAAACTAAGGTGGCTGACCCAGGGCCCACAAACACTGGCAGTAACACCGCAGCTCCAGACAGCCTAGGAGGCACCGTCCCCAAAGCTGCCCCCGCCCCCACCAGCACCACAAGCCCAAAAGAATCCAGTGACCCATCCCCTGCTGCCAGCAGTCCTGGAGCAGCGTCCCCCACCGAACAGGGGCCAACTGGCTTGTCAAAGAAGAGGGGCCGGAAAAGGGGGACGAGGAGCCGGCCCCGTGCCAGCAGCGGTGGGGTGGATCTGGACTCCAGCGGGGAGTTTGCCAGCATTGAGAAGATGCTGGCCACCACGGACACCAACAAGTTCAGTCCGTTTCTGCAGACGGCAGAGGATGATGCTCAGGACGAGGTGGCCAGAGCCCCTGCAGACCACAACGGGCCCAGTGATGAAGAGCAGGGCAGCCCTCCGGAAGACAGGCTGCTGAGGGCAAAGCGGAACTCTTATGCCAACTGCCTGCAGAAGATCAGCTGTCCCCACTGCCCCCGGGTGTTCCCTTGGGCCAGCTCCCTCCAGAGGCACATGCTCACGCACACTGGTAAGGGGGCTGCCAGGCCAGCGGGGGCTACTTCTCAGGAGGCTGCAGCCTGGCCGGCCAGGGGGAGGGAAAGAGAGGGGTCGGGTTGCACAAGTGGGACCCTTTTCCTATGACCCATCTCAGAAGCAGGGGCTTGCCTGGTGGTGCTGGGAGTTTTTCCCCATGTGCCCTGTAACCAGAATGACCTACTCCTGTTGTCGGAGCCCTCCGGGGCTGCTGGTGAAGAGAGGTGTTAAACATAAGGTGCTTTGGGTGAAAATGCTTGTAGGCCAGTCGGATTACTCACTTCGTCTGCCTCATCCCTTCTGGAGAAGGTGGTGACATTTCTTCCTGGCTACATTCAGGAGGCAGCTAGGGAGAAGTGAAACTGTGATTAAGGTGTCAGGCCATAGTGAGCTTGGTCCTTTGGCAGAATTGCTTCCCAGCATCCTCAAGGCAGTTTTTAAAATTTTGATCATTCCATGAAGTTCTTTTGACTGCCATGTGTCCTTAAAGGGCAATACTGCAAATTTTGCAGCTATCTTTCAGTTCACTAAAGTGGTCACATCTCCCCCTGTTGCCTGTGAAAACCAGTGACAAATGGTGGTAGAATTTTAAAGTTTTCTATTTATATTCTCAGCTATTCTGGAGAAACACAAATATAAATAATATTTTAATTAATGGGCTTAAATTGCCAAAAAGAGATCCCAGCATATTTTTCAAATGTTAGTTTCTGTATGCTGATTTTTAAAGACAAGTTTAAAATAAGGAATATGCTTTAAATAATTTTATATTAAGTACTTCTAATAGTCAAATGACCATACACCTCTCATCTTAATTCTAGTTTACTGAATATTCATACAGGATTCAGGTCATTGATCTAATAATAAATTGGGTAGGATCCTTAACCTTTTGGAAATTAATACCTAAACATTAATAGATGGGACCTAAAACCAAATAAAGAATTACATAGTACAGGGCTGCCACATAAAATATAGGACACTAGTTAAATTTGAATTTCAGATAAACAATTTTTAGCATAGGTATTTTTCCATGCAATATTGGGGATATACTGAAAACTGAGGTGTGGTTTGTATGAAAACCAAATTTAACTGGGCATACTGTATTTTTCGTTGCGCGATCTGGCCACCCTGGCTAGGTAGTTAGGAGGCTTATAATGATGGAGTGGAGATGGGGAGGGTAGTGGAAACTAGGTGTGAGCCATGCTCTGCACCGGGTGGAAAGGCTTCATTTGGAGTTGGTCATCCTATGAGGCTTCCAAGAAACCCATGGAAGGCTGTTTCTACTAATGAAGTAGAATGACAGGAGGGAGGTCACTGTGTCACCCCTGGGCAACAGGTGTGCAAAGAGAGAAGGGGTGGGGAGAGCAAAGCTGCAGGGTGTCTCTGAGGCTGGTTGCTATGTAGATGCAGCATCTCTTTCTGGTGTGATGGGGCCTTACATCCAGGAATCAAGGGGTGGGAAGTCCACAGTGCCTGTCCACGTTTAACAAGAACTGGCATTTCTAGATGTGCATGCTGCACTTTCAGACTGTCATTGTGTTCCCATTTGAAATCATTTATACCTGACAAAATAAAGTGGCAGTTCCAGTGAAGAAAGCCATTCAGAAAAGAAGGTGCATCTTAAAGAGAAGGCGCCCCACACAGCAGTCTCTCTTGCTGATCTTTTCGGGTGACACCTGTTTGTCGCTTGCAGAGCCTCTGGAGAAGTATTTCTGTTACCACTTTGAGAAGGCAGATGGCCTGCATCTGATGAATGTGGCTCCTGCCATGCCTCACCCCCTATGCTCACCCCTTGCCCTGCTGCCACCCAGCCTCCCTTTCGCCCCCTCCAGCTGGAAGTCCTGTGCTTCATAGATATCAGGCCTATTTGCCTCAGATGAGGCCACCTGTTCCTGACTGCTGGTTTCCCTGGGAGGACTGCAGCAGCCAGTATTTCCTTTCCAGAGCTCTGCCATTGTCTTTGCAGATGCCTGGCAGAAGTTCCCACCTGAGCATCCAGTCATTTCAGTTACCTGGCTTCTGAATGCTAAAATGTCCTACCTGGTTTAAAATGTGTTAGTGTATTGAGACTGAGCAAGAAAGACAGGAGGTTTGCATAAGACAGAGCTATCCTCTGAGTGGCTGTGTCTGTTTCAGGCCATTGCTGACATCCTGTCATCCTGTGTTCCTGCAGTGGGGCTGTGGGCCTTGGCAGGAGGCGGGCTTTCAGAGTTGGTAGCCTGCCCATTATAAAAGCTTGTCTTCATGACTGTCCCATGGGGGCGATGTTGTCCACATTTTGTCATGAGGACGTGAAGACTTAGGCTGAGTATGTCATGAGCTTCAGACCAGTGATGAGCTATAGAGCTAGAGTTCAAAGCCACCGTCAGGTTCCCAGCACCTGCCCCGTGATCAGGGTAATGTGGCTGCTGGGCCTCTTATCTGAAGGTGTATAGGGCATGTGTCCCCCATCTCCCTGTATCCTGACATGTCCCAGTGCAGAAGATTGGAAAGTGATTTGAGATAAAGTAGAACACAGACATGGGCCAGCATGCTATGAATCAGAGACTCACTGACCCCAGGATGGTATTAGCCACACACATAGACTTCATAAAGGGTGACGCCCCCTGGCTCTGTTAACTTCCTCTGCTGTTGCTGCTTGAGCTTCCAACGACCACCTCAGCATCGCCTCTAGTAAGAAATTTCATAGAGCACTTGCTATGTCTGGTGCTATTAGAACATTTTCCATTTATTGAGTGTTAGCACTGGACAAGCCTGGGAAATCACCTGACCCACCCTTCTCCCAGCCTGATGTTTTCCTGGGAGGTGGCTCTGCCGCTGAAGAAGCTGTCTGTGAGCTCTCTTCTGGCTCCCTAGCTTTCTGGGAGATGTGCCCTCCAGAAACGGGAAATGAGTCTAAGGCATACATGTAAGAATGCAGAAATTAAACGTGAGCTCTGAAAGGACCCTGTAAACAAACGGTATACAGGGAAGTGGCTTGCTTTTTTCTTCTTAGTAGTGTTAAAATCTAGCTACATTGTAGCCAGAGGTGTTGAGCAGTGTCTAGTTTTAAACTACATTTAGGCAAACCATGTCTGTATCCTGAGAGTCCGCCTTCTCCTGACCTCTGGGCAAATGCATAGGATTATGGTGATATCTGTGTTGTCTCATGGAGATTTCCAGCCCAGCCCACCAGCCCACAGAGCAGCATTAGGTGAAGCAGATGTTAAGGGTCCAGCTAGGGGTTCCCTGTTGCTGGGACAAGTGGCACATGGTTCCAGCTCTTTCTCTATGTGGCTCAGTTTCTAGGAATTATGTCTTAGAGGAAGCTGATATCTGCTGTTACGCTGTTTATTTCCAAAAGGTAGCCGAATTTTCTCTAGCCCCATGTCCCCACTTGTGGCCTGAGGTGGCCTGCCGATCCGGAAAAGATCCTGGTTCTGTGCCTGTGCCTGGCCAGTGCTGCGCTCAGGAGAGGACAGTTCTCTGTTCCTTCCTTTTCCCCTGTGAGCATCTCGTGTGTTCTCAGGCCATGGGTAGAGGTGGGAGTGCCAGAAAACAGAGCCCACCCACACCCACCCATCCTCATCTTCCTCCTCTACTCCCTTTCCTGATCTTCAGATGTTATCTGAGGTGCCCTCCAGCAAGGACGTTCCTGCATTCCCTGGCTCACTCACTTTCTCACCGTTGGTTTTAGGTCCTCTTCTCTGCCAGCCTGGGCCTTTCCCATGCACCTCGCCAACCCGCTGCCCACGGCACCAGGCAGCAGAGGTGATCAGTAAGCTATGCAAGCCTCAGTGTGAAAAGTGCTTTGGACACCAGTTCAGCTCCTTTTAACTTCCTTAAGTGCCAACCTTTGCTATTTCTACTTGTCCAGCCCCTTGTACACCTCTGCCAGATATGGAAGGAAAGAAGCCTTCATTCACCTCGAGGGTGGAGGGCAGTGGGAAGATGTGTGAGGACAGGCAGCTTGGTCAGCAGGCTTAATCACATTGGTTGTTGTTCTCTCTACTGCCCCAATGACTGCCGGATAATACCGTTCAGTATGAAATTTCTCTCTTCATCTCTTGCCTGTTCTGTGAGAGTGAAAATTACCTGGCTGATGGCTTCTGCCGTTCATGTTGGGGAGGTGGAGGATCTTTGGTGCAAAGGGAACTCCTTGTGGTTACAGGTACATTTGAAGACACCCCTGCTAAAGCAGTAATTGGTGGCAGTTACCAAATAAATAAAACCATCTGATACTCTACATATAGGTTACCAGTCAACAGATTTTCTTGAAAACTAAATGCTAAAATAAGGAAATACAAAATATGGAAAGGGTTTGTGTTTTGCTGTGTGCAATCCAGAGAACACCCTGCTGTTTAAAATGCAAGACATATATATATACGTCAATTATACCTCAATTTAAAGATAATTAAATCTAAAACTTAGGCAGTGAAATGTGAACTTTTAAAGAATCCTACAAATTTGAGGAACCCTCATAATCTGATACAATACTAGCATCATTGAATTGTTATGAACCTTTGGTATGAGACATCAGCCTATCTGTAAAAGTGAAGCATTTACCAGTGGAGAAATTATAGAGTCAATCATGTCATAGGAAGAGGCAAGAAACTGGTTGTTTTATTTGAAATCAGGAATCACGAAGTTCATAGCTGCAGCTTCTGACTTGATTTCCTCCCAGCCAGCTTTCTTCCTCTCATCCTGGCTTGACTCACAGAAGCTGAGGTCTTGCCTTTGACAATAAAATGTTAAAGGAAAAGTCTTTTTTCTTGCTTAAATCGGTGCCCAAATAATAATTAAATATTACGTTCAATTTTTAGTGGAAAGCAAGAATGATTTGAAGGGCATACAATAAACATTAAAATACTTAACAACCAAGTCTTCATGGAAAAACATGATGTATTTCTTTTTAACATGGACATTTTTATAAATCTAGCAGGAAACAGCAATAGAGTTTTGTAAATAGAAACTTCAAAGCATTCGGTGGGTTCTCCACTTCATCCTGTAGGGCTATTG